TCTTTGATTCACTGCCAGTTTCCTTCAGCTTTAGTTGTAATTCTTCTCCTTTGCAGGAGAAGAATTATTCACCTTTTTTTTTCCACAACTTTTTCACATTTTATTTATTCACAATTGGAATAAAAAGAGAAGAAAAGCTTTCACAGAAGGAGAGCAAATGTCTAAAACCCAAGAAGGGGGATTTTCTCCCTTCTCCATCCCTGAACTCCCTTGGAATTCCCTTCATGTGTTAAGAATCCCCCGTTCCCCGTAACAAGGGGGAATAATAACCGCTGCAGACAGGAGCTCTCCGCCGGCATCAGCTCAGCTCCTTCACCAGCTGTGGTTTATCGTGCGTGACACCACGTGCCCGGTCGGGGCTCCTCGGGCCGACAGAGCTCCTCTTGACATCAGAGGTGGCTTTGGCAGCGGCCACGGGAGCTCCTTGGCACCGAGTCACAGGTTACGTGCTGCAGGGGAAAGGCTGTCACGCCGCTGAGCAGAGAGGAGTAAGTTAAAAGGTGAAGGAATTGATGGTTCCAGTCTCAATATCTTCATTTATTTAATTATTTTTGTCCTATGGGGTTTGTTGGCTCAGCAAACACCAGAGTTGTCCCCTTCCTGTCAGCCCCTGCTCTGGGGAAGGTCTGGGGTGGATGTAGGGGAGGTTGGGGGGTGATGCTTTCCAGGATCAAACACATTCTTCAGGTTTGATGAGTAACTTCTGTGCTGTTGGATTATTTTTTTTTCCAACTGAGATAATTGCTTCGAAAGTGACATCACTATATGCAAATTAGTCCACAGTTAAAATGGAATGTGAAGGTGAAATGGAAGAAGCTGTGGATTTTTTAAAAAAATCAAATTAATTTAAGAGAAACATTTTTTATTAGTCCCTTCCATTTGTGATTGTGAAGAGCTGAATTAGTTAATTAAGTTCTGCCTGAAAAGTTTCCCCTCTTGCAGAGGGGATTCATTTGTTTCCTTCACATTCACAAACTGGATCATAACATTAAGCAGGGCCTCAGTGCTTTTGTGACCACCCAGAAACTCCAAGTGATACCCCAGTTCAGCAGCGTCCCTGTGGCAAGGAGGATCGGGCCAAATCCTAAGAAAATAGGAGACAGGGGAGTCTTTGGTCAAATTGGTCTTCCTGCATTTGGGCAGTTCCAGACATTTCTTAGAAGAGCTTGCAGTGACATCTGAAGGCCGTACAGCAGAAAATCAGGGATCTGCACACCAGCTCAGAACTGCTCCTCTGCCCTTCTCTCGCCTCCCCTCTCTATAAAGGGATTTTTCTCATGAGGTGAGGGAGCTACGTAAAGGCTTTTCAGGAAGGCAGAAGCTGTAACCCCAATTAGTTAATGGGATGATGAGCAAGCACTGGGAAATGGGAAGAGCAAACCTGCAGGGTCCCAGCTGGAGGAGCATTCAGGAAACCAAAATGATGGTTTCCTGATGCACCCAATGATGCTAATCAGATGATTAGCAATTTGTGTGACGCTTCTGGAAGGGACCTGGCTGGGAGCAGTTGCTGTGAGCACCGTCTCTTCCATGGGCTTGTTGATGGAACACCCGCGGTTGCGTGGTCCAAGGGGTCCATGGACTATAACAGTCCGTGCCTGCCCATAGGTACTTGGTGTTTGACAGATCTGTCACACTTCTCAGAAATCAAGATGCAAAATCCATCACTCAGGGACATGGTATATGTGTATCAGATACTCTCTGGGGGACGGAGAGTCCATTAAGCAGCGAGTCCCTAAACTCATCCATATGAAGAGTTGGCATGGGTGACAGATAGAATATGGAGAGCACCCCTCGTCTAACAGGTGACCCGACCCCCATCTGCCACTAAAGCACTATAAATATTAATTTATCTCACCCTTTCAGAGACATTTGGAGGGGGTGTGTGAGCCCAGAGGGACAGGAACTGCTTATGCAGGAGGCGAGCAGAGCAGCGGGTTGTGTTGGGTGAGGGGGGTCGTGTCTCGGGGAGGTGACAGCTCCTCCAGCGCCGGCGGTTGGAGGAGAGGGGTCCCTGCCTGCACGGTATGGAGCTGAAGATGTGACCTTCACACAGAGGATTAGGACAGAGCTCTGTAAACTTTGCTGTAGAGCAGAAAAGGAGTGAATTAGTCAGATGTGGTGAATTTAGAATCATAGAATTGTCTGGGTTGGAAGGGACCTTGAAGATCATCGAGTCCAACCATCAACCTAACTGAGAAAAACCATCACTAAATGATATCTCTAAGCACTATGTCAACCCGTCTTTTAAATACCTCCAAGGATGGTGACTCCACCACTTCCCTGGGCAGCCCATTCCAAGGCTTCATAACCCTTTCACTGTAGGAATTTTTCCTGATCTCCAATCTGAACATCCCCTGGAGCAACTTGAGGCCATCTCCTCTTGTCCCATCTCCTGTCCCTTGGGAGAAGAGACCGACCCCCGCCTTCTCTGTTTCAAAAAGAGAGTGCTGTAAATTTAAACTACACTCCCTCCCTGACATCACCCTGACCAAACTCCATAAAACCCAGCACCTGTGGAGGCACCTAACCCCTTTGGAGGCCCCTCACCTCCTGTTTGAGCAGAGACTGGCAAAGGAGAATGACCCACTCGTGAGGGAAGCGACTGATGCCCCACAGGGCGCCCAGAAGTTGTGGGGATGAAGAGGCTAAACCCAGCAGGGACTCGGGGGATGTCCTGCTGTCCCTTTGCCGTGGGACACTGTTATACTGAGATGTTACACTAGATGGTGCATTCGGCAAATTATTGGAAGAGATGGAGCTTTTGGCCCAAGTCTGACCCTAACATTTGCTGTGTACACACGGAGCATCCTTTTCATAACTTCCCACAAAGTTAACCCTTCCGTGTAAGACCTGAATGTGGCCACAGCTGCACTTTGAGACTTTGGCATTTATGTCTGGAGGTTTGGGAGGGCTTTTTTTGCCCATCACGGATCTTTGAGTAATTCAGAAATCACCTAGCAACCAGCAAACCGTGATGGCACATTGAGTTTGAGGGACACTTGAGTTTGAGGAGGGGAAAGATCTGGTAGAAAGTACGTGATATTCCTTATTACCCCGCATTTCCTAATTTCTAGGTGAATTCACTGGGACTGAAGATGTGCACATATTGATTTATTCGCTGGAGAATAAATATTGATTACCCCGTGGTCTTTTCCATGGATCAGTGCTTCTAAGAAGGAGCCATGGCTTCCCTTCTCCTCTCCAGAAGGGGGGATGAGCCTGCAGGCTGGTGGGACTATGCGTCCAGGGCACTAATTATTCCCTGCCCTTCCCTTTGTGTGTGTGGAAGCCCTTCTGTGCTCCGGATTTGGGGCAGGGGAGCCCTCAGCACAGAGAGCTGATGGTTGCAGCTCTGTCTTGCAGGTGACAAACCCAGACTGGGGCAACAGCATCTCCTGCCCCTTTGGGAATCCTTCTTTGGGACATACATTATGGCAGAAATCACTAGGTGATACTGTCACACCTAATTCTCACACTTTTTCTTGGTACCCGCACATTTTCAGGCACTGGAGAAATTGTTCTTGTTAGAGATGGGTTTATAGTATTTCTTTGAGAAGCTGCTGAAACAGAAAAGTATCAGGGAGTGTGACTTCTTCAGACACTTGTGTCTGTGCTGGGGCTGAGATTTCTGGAGGAAGAGCCAGATATAGTTTACATGGAAACAGAAATAGGTATGAATATGTTGTGTTTATTTAGGTAGATTCTATATATTGTTCAAATGTACACCTGGATCCCATCGTTCTGTGCTCACACCAGTAGTAACTTCAGGAGATTATTGGGAAACCAGGTTATGAAACTCATCATCAACAGAAAGCAGAAACCCACTCTATCCTTTTCTTAGCGACTAATCTCTGGCATCTGGCCTTTTTTTTTGCCTTTTACATCCCACTCTTTGCTTTCATTGTCTGGTTCAGGCCTCCATCCTTCAGGTGTTTACTACTCACTGCGTATTAAACCATGTATTTCAATATTTTCAGGACAGGGCCTTAGACCTTGCCTACCAGGAAGAAATTATACTGAATTAACTATACTGATTTATAAACTGATTTAGTTAAATTGATGCAGCTCTCCTGAGCGCTTTATATCACTTCAGTTTAAGTCATGAGTCAGGGAGTAACAAATCAATTCTGTTGGCAGAGAGTGAGAAAGATTAGACTGGATCTTCAGCCCTTCCATCTCCGTATTTATTAGGCTAAGGCCTCTTCAGGGCTTGTTGCTGTTCTCTTTAATTTTCTCTGCCTAATGGACCCGATCCAGCTCTTGATGGCGTAAACGAGGGTTTTTCCATGACCTCCAGCTGGGAGCTGGAGATGGTAATATCTTTATTAAAAACCTAGAGAAGCTCAGAATGACAAATAATCCAAACCTGCCTCCTCGCTGTGTACACAGTTCTCAGATCGTGGCTCAGGCTGCAGAAACCACCTCTGCTCCAAAAAATGTGATATTCTACGTTCAGGGCAGGACAATCCACCCTCTAAAGAGAGCAGTCTCTGCTGACATCATGCTGAGAGTATCCCCATGCAAAGACTCATGATCTGATTTGATTTTCCCAACAACAGCAGATAATTAAGATCTCGTGTCTGTTTTAAGATGGGAAGAAAACAATCTTGTTGTCAGTGTCCCCAGGTTTTGTGCGTTCAGGCTGGATGGACTCGGGGCTCAGGTTATTCCTGGTTTTGTGCTGGCTTCACCAGAAACGAGACTCACGTTGCGTTCCCAAATCAAAAAGCACAGCTTTTACAAAATGCCATTTCATTTCAAAAAGTGCTCGCTGGGTTGTGGTTTTTTATGTTTTTTCTTCTTCTCTACCTTTCTTCACACTTCTACAAACTACTAATATTAAACAAGAAGGATATCTGAGAATATGCTAATCGAGGATATTCTGAGTTCCACTCTGAAAAATTTTGCTTAATGTTTTGCTTATTTTATATCATACGTGGTGATGCCCTTTTCTGTTTCCATCTCTGTCCAAATGTGATTTCTTCTTTATTTTACAGGTTTATGATGGAACTTACATCTTTGCCTAAATTCCTTTGGACAAGTGACAACAAACTTTTGCATCACCATTTTCCCGACACGTTGGCTACTGTTCATACCACCCAAGACATTCCCAAAGAAGTGGTTTTTGGACCATGCATGCTGCAGAACACCCTGCTGGACACTGTGGCTTTTATTGCTCTCAAGTGTTCTGACAGACGGAACATCCACTACGTATTTAAGGTAGGAGAAAGCAGCATTTCAGGTGGGGCACCTCAAAATGGGTTGTGCCATCCCTGAGAAGGTAACTTTGCCCAGGGGTAGAGTTTTGGTTTGTTCAGCACAACTGATGATTCCTTCAAAGTGAAGAAGCAGCCAGCGTGCTTCTGATTTATGAGCTGTAGACTGGAGGGACCTCTGAAAATTTCTTTTTCAGGAAAAATACCAATTCCCATTTCTACTCTGATGGTTGATGACCTGCCCAGAGAAGCTGTGGCTGCCCCATCCCTGGAGGGGTTCAAGGCCAGGCTGGATGGGGCTTTGAGCAACCTGGTCTGGTGGGAGGTGTCCCTGCCCAGGGCAGGGGGTTGGGACTGGATGATCTTTAAGGTCTCTTCCAACCCAAACCATTCATGATTCTATGAATCATTCACATGATTCTACGATTCTATGATCTGCTTCAGCACTGAGAGGGAACTGGAGGAAAGAGGGAGAAATAGTTTGTCACCTCTTGGGTTTTATCATTACAAAGGACAAAGAAGGCTTACCAGGAGGTGTGACAGCCCTGTGGGAGCAGAGAGGGACAACTGTGGCCCTGCCCTGGTTCATGCAGGTGGTACATCCCCAGCATTTATTGACAGATCTGAGCAGCATTAACCCAATTTGCTCAGTTATCCATAAAAGTAAACTCACAGCAGCAGCGATCTACAGCATGAACTGTAGAAGATGTCAGTCAGGCAACGAGTCCACACGACCTTCAGGTGGCCACAACTTACTGCTGTTTGTTAGTACACGGACCTCCTAAAGTTACCTTAGATATGTCTGTCTGTGTCAGAGCTGCACTTTTCAGTCACTGTAGAGAAGCCAGATGGATATGGCAGTGAAAGAAAAGGAACTATCTTGTAAGGAAAGTCAGAAACCCCAGGGCTGTGATGGAGTTTTAACTCTCCAGCTCTAATTCCCAATTTATGTTTTTTTTTGTTGTTCCTTAGCCACTGTTTATCATAACATTTTCATTTGGACAATGCATATTTCTCAGGTGGCCTCTTACCTGGGCTTTCTGGGTCTTGGAGTGTATTTTGGTCACCGTTGGTCGAGATGGAGATGGGGAGGTCGTGTCTTACAATGGGAGGCAAGCGAATTTCCTATGTGCTATGGCATGGATGGTTCTAGGAGAGATCTTAGGTTCTCCTGAGGTTTCTGTGCTCTGGAGGAGAGCAATCCCAAGGAGGTCTTGTAATATGGAAGATGCAGCTGTTGGGAGATACCCATTTGGCACTTTTGCTTTAAAAAAATTAAGAAAGAGAAGAAGAAGCTTCAGGGGGTTTCTGACTATTTGTTTGAGTCTTTGGCACCAATTCGCTTGCTTGGACTGTGTTATTAATTCTCCAGGAGAACTACAAGCTCTTTGGAGAAAGATCTCTCCTGAAACAAGGCTTTATTTGTGGAATATTGCTGTGTTTCCCCTGGGAGAAATGACAGTCGACTCAAGAAAGAGCCTCAAAGGGTTTCTACGCTGGAAGAGCCCTCCAGAGAGATGGCTTTAGTGTTTTGCAGCATTTGAGCTCAGTGGTTGTTGTGCAGCCATGAAACTGGATGCCTGGGTTGGCTCCGATCTCTGGCTTTGGGCAGTAAATACATCAAATTCTCTGCAAGTTGCTGTTTCAGTTGCAATCGGTGGCCCCGTATCCTCTTAGCTACTCATAATTAAGAGTAAACCTTCCAGAAATCAGGAACTATTGTTAAGCTCCTAACTCTGGACAGTTAATTAACAATTCAGTCATGATTCCATGTTTTTATCAGAGCAGCGAGGCGCAAAAAAGAAATGTGTTTTGATTTGCTGGCTATGGTATGAATAGAATATAGACAGGAATAATTTGGCAAGGTGGATTCTTCCCAGCTGGGGTTCCTGGTGACCACAGCCCTGTCCTTCACTCCTCCCTTCTTCAGCCTCCTCAGGCTCCCTCAGCTCTTCCCCTGGAGTCCCGGTTCCCGGAGGAGCCGTGTTCCCTTTGACTTTGCTTAGAGCCTGGGGTGGCTGCTCAGTGTGTCTGAGACACAGAAAGCAATAACTGACAGCCTCTGTCACAGCTATTAGTTACGACCCCCGCGTGTGGGTGGGTGTGCTTGTGCTGCTGTCAGACTTTTCTATTTCTCAATCATTGCTAATTACCGTGGCGTTTAGCGAGAAGCAGTTACAGGGCATGATTATTTATTTTCCTCCCTTATTCTAACTAACTCTCATCCTTAATGTTTCATTCTTGTATTCAAGCTACTAACGTGATCCTGGTTTTCATGGTAGGTAATAGTCGGGGAGAGTTAAAAACAGAGAAATAGCCAAAATACCATTTCTGATACTGAGCACCAGTGAATGGCCGCCCTGCAATTAGTGGAAAACAAAGAGCCATACATTGCTCGGGGTGAGATTTAGATCCCACTTGTCATTAGACATTTGTCATTTCCAAACTTCTTCCTTTCTAAACAATGATTTAGTGCTTCAAAAATTAGCTGAGGCTTTTTGTCCATGTAAGCGTTGCCCTTGGTCGCCCTCTGTTTCAGCCTCCCAGCAATTAAAATCTTCCCCATCTTTCAGATGCTGCCGAGGACATAGATCTGCTGTGGCAAACACCAAAGAAAAACCGAGAAAGAAATAAATCATTCCCTATTCAGAGCAAATATAATACAGTAACTAAGATGGGAACCACACACGGAATGAGGAAGATGAAGCCAAATGGTTTATAGTTACATTATTTCCAAAGCATGGTCAACCTGTGACTAAATGACTGAGGAGTCCTGTGGAGAAAGGAGTGTATGTAACTGAGGATGATGCTGGAATATCCCCACAGAAGGGAAATTTAATTTGGGCAGTAGAATTAATATTATTTTTTTAACTTGTGGGTGCCCGACCTTGCAACCTAAGCAGTGTCTGTTAATTTAATCTGTTTGGTATTTCTGAATGCACACATACTGAACACCAACCCCTCACTGCTCTCAGAAATAATTTAATGAAAAATATTCATCTGATGAGTTTTTATCTGTTTAGATACCTTGAAATCAATTTAACCGATTTATCAAAGGCAGGGATAGGACTATATTGGTTTAGTTCTGAAGAGGGAAAGAGATCACATAAGTGCTTCTTAGTTGCATTCCTTAAAATCTAATTTTTACGTAATCTAGCCAAACAGTTAGATATGCAGATATTGTCTCCTTGGGATGTTGAATCAAAAAAATGAGATTATTCTTGTGCCTCCTGATCCATATCCTCTTATGTCAGTGAAAAACCCCACGTGCAGTGGAAATAAACACAAAGTGTGTGTTAATTTCCTGGCTCACACCGTGCTGGTCCAGGGGTCCTCACACCTTGTACCCATACAGCCCCCCAGCTCTGTGTGACACAGAGAACAGGCTTCCGTCTTGAACTTGATGGAAATCTCTTTTGGGTCCCAAGACCTGAAAGTGAAACTTCCCTTTTTTTTTTTTTTTTTTGGGTGTCCTGTCTCCCAGGTGGACGTTACATCAGTGCACAGCCCCACGGGCCTGCCGTGGATGAGGCTGGTACAAGCAGCTGCCAACAGCAAGGAGCAGAACTTGGAAGCTTACTTAGAAAACAGTCAGTTGTACTATCGCTCCACGAGGAGAATCAGCAAAAATGAGGAGCTGCTCGTCTGGTACGATGAGGAGCTTTCCAGCCTCTTGGGTTTCGATGAGATCAAAGCTCAGAGTCTCCAGAATGGTGAGTACTCAATTGTTGGCTCAGGGGTCACTGAGGAAATAAGTGAATCTGCAATTCAGGCTTGGAGCAACCTGGTCTGGTGGGAGGTGTCCCTGCCCAGGGCAGGGGGTTGGAACTGGATGATCTCTAAGGGCCCTTCCAACCCAAACCATTCTATGATTCAGCCTGTATTAAAGCCAGGGACCGACTTTGGAAATATAGACCCAAATCTGGGTTCAGACTTCAAATGGTCATAAAAGTCCATATGTTTTAATCCAGATCATTGTGTGCTGGCCATTTTACATAATGCAAGCTTGGCTGGAGAGTCTAAACAAAATAATTTCTGCAGGTAGCACATGGGGGCAAACATGGGTGAACCATTTTCCATCACAGCAAGGGGCCTGGTTCTGTGCTGGCTTTAGCTGTACCCTGGGTGATGAACCATTTTCCATCACAGCAAGGGGCCTGCTTCTGCGCTGGCTTTAGCTGTACCCTGGGTGATCTTCTCACAAGAAATACTTAGGGTTTTTTAATTTGTGTCATTGTCAGGGTCAGGATCTGCCCACGATGGTATTACCTTTGCCAAACTCATTTGTCTGTTGTGTGTTTCTGCAGAGCTGAGGTGCCAAGAATGTAACCGAGTCTTTAAATGTGAGCATTCCTATCTCTCCCACGTCCGCTTCCTGTGTGTCCCAGAGAAGAGCTCCCTGCTGGGCAGGAACAGCCAGGACCCCAAAACTGAGAAGAGCAACTTATCTGAGCAGAGCACGAATTTCCACAGCCTGGCAAGGGATCTAGAGGTCAAAATGGCAGCTCGTAAAGACGATGCCCACGGTCTCCCAGGAGAAAAGAGAGCAAAAGCCGAAGAGGCTGAGAACAACAGAAGCAGGAAAACGGTGTTGTTGGAGAAAACCAATAACCTGAGTGAGGAACGTAACTGTGGGAGCAAGGACGAGGCTGGGGGAGAGCATGCCTTGGCTGGTTCTTTCTGGAAGCTCAGTTCAGGGAGGCCGTCGGGTCGGAAGGAGGCTTTGGAGCAGAAGCAGAGCGCTTTCACCGAGGTCAGGAGGATGAAGGAGAAGCTGAGGAATGAGAGAGCCAAGGAGCCGGAGCAGGAGGATGGCATGGCCCCCCTTGGTAAAGAGCAGGTATCAAAGGAGGCTTTGCTGAACTCCTCTGGTAGCGCCTTCTCCTTTGTGTGGCCCACCAGGGCCCGGGGAGAGCAGAAGAGCGCTTTCAGCAAGCCCAGTAAGTGTCTAGCAGAAAGAGCTGCAATAAATTCTTCTCATCCCATGAGTGAGTCAGCAAAGAGCCTGGGGGAGCTGTCGGGCTTCATCGCCACCACAGACATCATGTGCTGCAGCGCTCTCCTCAGCTCCAAGTTCTTTGTCAGTGATTTGTGTAACGCCCAGATGCTGCAGACGAGCATCACTCGGAGCAACGTCTTCCCATATACCTCAGAAGCCTGGCCCAAACAGGCAGGGGGGCAGTTACAAAACACAACCACCACTTCTTCCTCCTCCTCCTCCTCTTCCTCCTCTTCCTCCTCTTCCTTGACTCTTCTTCCCCCCACCTTCACCTCCTTCGGAGTGGCTGCCCAGAACTGGTGTGCCAAGTGCAACCTGTCCTTCCGCATGACGTCGGATTTGGTCTTCCACATGAGGTCACATCACAAAAAGGAGTCCTCCTCGGCCGAGTCCCAGTGCAAGAGGAGGCGAGAGGAGAAGCTGACGTGTCCCATCTGTCACGAGTACTTCCGAGAACGTCACCATTTATCCCGACACATGACCTCTCACAACTAGAGCTGGGCAGGGAGACCTCACCAAGGGACTGGGCAGGTTGGGTAAAGGAGGGGAACACGGTTCCTTTGTCTCCATTTCTCTTTGAGTTTACATCAATTTCTTACTGGAAATCACTGTTTACAGTAATTTATAATAGATGCTTTGCAAAGCAAAAAAAAAAAAAGAAAATATAAAATGTTTACAAGAGTCTGAGTGGGTTGTAAGTTTTGAAAACTCAACCTAGCCCTTGTCAATCTATTTTCGAGGAAATAAAATAGTGAAATGAATGCAGACGCAGTGTTGATTTGCAAAGAGTTGGGAACAAAATTATTGTTTGGCAAACAGAGCTTTCTTTGCTTGTGTTTGATTTTTGGGTGCCTGTGCAGTAAATACAGAAGTAACTACCACCTCATGGGACGAGGAGTCTTTAAGCACTAAACAAATCAGAACTCATATGCTAAAAGAAGTTGCTGGTTTTAGCAGCTTTGGTGTACTCTTACTCCTTTATGTTAGCTGAATCTGCTGAGTTTGAGTAAAAACTGGTATCTTACTGTCTCCTTGGCTTCTAAAGAGACTTGAAGTTAAGACTATCTTGAAATCTGTGATGGTCAACAGCTGCCCGATAGGCTGCCACAGAGGATGTGGCTTGTAAATCAGTGTATCCGAGTTCTGTTCTAGGCTCTGCCACGTTTGAAACATCTTTTACAAAGCCAAATCAGCCTGGATCTGTATCAAAATGCCACCTGTTGTCAACTTTATTGTGTAGACACAGGGAGCAGAAGTTCTGCCCTGATCTTGCAAGATCTGTGTGACTTCAGAAGGTGTGCAGATCTCATGGGGGTAGAGTTTGGGGTGTTGTTTTCAGGTTTGGGGCATACTAAAGAAAGTACTGGGGTATTTGAGGTACTGTTGGCTACTGATAGAATCTTCACACTTTAATTGTGGAGGCCAGGCTCTGTTCTGCTGACAGGGAGAAGAGGAATGTCCTTCATAAAATGACCCAGGAATTGCGTTGCATTAGAGCAGCTTGTCTGTCCTCTGGGTTCTACGCAGGCAAATTCCAGCTTCTTTGTAAAAGAAAGTGCCAAATTCTCTCTATAGCCTGTCCACATGAGACATTTTTTCTCTTGCCTACTTTGGTTTGAGCTCTTAGGAGCTTGGTTTGCTTTGTCTCAGAAGCAGATGAGTTTGTACTGCTCTGGGTGGGGGTGTGGGGGAAGCAACAATCCTCTCTATTGTTACTGCAGCTCATCTAATTAGCCTTTCATTACGTTTTAAATCCATTTAGGGGCTTGCTCTTGACAGCTCATGATGTGTTCTTCAAGCAGGCATTTCCCTCTCTCATATACTATTTTTTCAGGTTGCCTGATGTTTTTGTGGCCTGTCTCTGAACCTCATCTGCTATTATTCACTTTCAGATAGGTAATTATCAGAAACCACTCATTTCCCAGCCAAGAGTAAAGGACATTGCAATATGCTCCTTAGTATTTTCCACCACACTGATGATACAGTCCAGTCTAGTTTGTCTGCTGCAGAGTGGACAGAGGTTTTCTTTGAGTTCCCATGAGGACACCTGGGCTGGCAATGCAAGTATTGTCGAGTAAACACATCTGAGTGATAAAAGACAGCCTGAGAGTCTCAGGCTGTCAGTTGGGATCAACATATTACACTCCCTGTCGTCTCTCGGGAGATTTCTGTAAGTCAGGAGACGTTATTCTTCCTAATATTTTGCTGTTGAACATTAATACTTGGCTGTTTCCTATTAACATAAACATTGGCCTTATTACAGGCCAACCACTGGCTGCTCACCCTGGCTTTATTTTCCAAACACGAAGCGATTAAACTGTTACATTCTGCCTTTGAGTTCAGAAGACATAAACCCAGACTGGAGGTCTGCTTGGATTCTAACACAGCTTCCCAAGGTCAGCGGTGGAAGCCCTTTCACTGGAGTTGTTAAAAACCCCAAATGAACAAAAGCTTTGAAAGGTGGAGCAGGGGGAACAACCTTGCGTTGAGCAGGAGATGATGTGGTTTCCTTCTCATCTTTCCATCTCTACTTTGTGCCCAGTAACGCCTACCGGGCAAGGAATATATTTACGGGGAGGTTTAATGGGCCAAATTTCACTCCATCTGGTTTTCTCTGGGTGGTGGCCAGTTTATGGTGAAGTCAGTGTCCATAAAGTGTAATGAAGGACTCCACGGTGTGCCCGCCCCCGTGCGCCGTTGGGGTTAGAGTTCCCATTAGTAGTTTTAGCCAGATTGTGATCTCACTTATTCCAGTGCAAATCCAGAATAATTCCGTGTGGCTGCTCCCCATTTACATCAGTTACTTTAAGATCAGCCTGGCCCAGTATAAATAAGACTAAAGATTTTTTTCGGTGCCGTCGCCTCAAAAGGTTCTCTTCTCTGCTGCCTGAAAGATGCTGTGTTTTCTTAATGGTTTTATGGTCAGAAATCTACTTCAGAAGGACAAGACCAGCTGTGTAAGGCTCCACTTCAACGTTACCCTGCTCCAAGGGTCTGTTTTTCCCCCACACCACACCTGGCCTGTCATGTCCATGGGGAAGGAAGTGGTGCCACATCTCACAATTACATGTTTTCACAGCTTTTGTGCTGGTGGCAGCGACCTTGAGAAAGGGGGAAAAATCAGCTGCTGAATCTCAAAACCTTCTTCCAGCAGTGGGTTAGATCTACAGCCTTAGAGGGCTCCCCAGCAATCAAAGTTCTTCACTCTGCTTATGGTAGGAGGGATAAGCAAGCAGCAAGGCTACAGGCAGAGACAGCTTTCCTCTGTGTCATGAAATTGGAGGTTTTTTGGGGGGGCATGGAGGAGGAAATCAGAATTCTTACCCCATTTCTCTGTGGATGTATCTCAGCCACAGCGACTTATGTACTGGGATGACAAGGGATGTATAAATGAATGTATAAATGTGTACAGAAAGGCAAAAGAACCAGTTGCGAAAAGGTACTGGGATGACAAGGGATGTATAAATGAATATGTAAATGCCTTCTGTGTATAGAAAGGCAAAAGAACCAGTTGCAAAAAGTGGAAGAGCTGATTCTAAAAGCAAAAAAAAATAATAATTTAATCAGCTTTATTTCTGGTGCTGACCCCACCTCCCCCAGCTACAGGGATGGTGTGGTTTGGTCCCAGTATGTGAAGACTGGGGACTGCAGACAGAAATCCCAGCATGGGCCAACCTGTGCAATACTGCCCTGGCTCCTTCCTGGATGGCATGGCATAAAAACTGGGTGAATAAATTGTTTCTTCTACACTCAACTAAAGAGTTCTGTGAGCTAAGGCTCCATTACACACAGGTGAGCACTATGACATCTTGTTACCTGCTCCACCTGTGCTGACAGCAGAGCAGAGATGCCAACACAACCACGACCTGCTTTCCCATGTGTAAAAAAGGTAAAAAAGCCCCTCGTGCCGGCAGAGAGAATGGATTTTATGAGTCTCAGGTTTAAACCAGTGTCTCATCTAAGCCAGGTTACGTAAACCAGGGGGTCTTATCCAAAACTTCTGCAGATTTTTATTTCTTGAAACACAAATATTCCTATTAAAGCTGAGTGAACCAAATATTGCTCAGGCAGAAGGAAGCCTAATGAGACAAAGAAAAACAAACTTCCTATAATTGAGTCATGCTGGAAGCTTTTTTTTTTTTTCTTTCCTTACGTCTAGAAGTCTGAGCATTTAAATTGGTGCAGATGAAAGGAAATCCTGCTGGAGGAAAGGCACAGCCCCACCAGAGTGGGGGGTTTGTGAAGAAAGGAAGGGACTTTAGGAATTCGTGAAGGACTGTGTTCAGCCCCAGAGCCACCCTGGGATTTTGCTGCAGGGAGCAGTGTCTTCTCCACAAGGAGAAATGAGCAGAAGAAAAGAAGAAAAATAGGATTTTGTTTTTTAAAACTGGAGAAGGAGACAACCTGAGGCCAGCTGAGCAGTCTGTCCCTGTCTTGGCCAGCAGCCGCCTGTGTCTTTTTTGGTCAAATCCCTGTTTCTTGTGACATCTGTTCCTGGATGAGTGAGAAGTGAGGTGTCAGGATGTGGCCAAGCATACCTGTCCCGGCTGTGCTCCTGCAGAGGGCTCTGAGTTTGCCAAGAGGAGATACCAGATTAGGGTATTTGTTCACTCATTGACCCCTGACCACCTTCTAATGACCACGTGTTCCTCCATCGAAACTGCACCCTGATAGGTTTTACAGAATCACAGAATCACAGGTTTTACAGAATCACAGAATCTTCTAGGTTGGAAGGGACCTCAAAGATCATCTTGTCCAACCGTCAACCCAACTGACAAAAATAGACACCCACACAACAAACAAGAAGCATCACCATCACTAAACTAACAGCGCTGGAATCACAGGTTTTACAGAATCACAGAATCTTCTAGGTTGGAAGGGACCTCAAAGATCATCTTGTCCAACCGTCAACCCAACTGACAAAAATAGACACCCACACAACAATCAAGGAGCATCACCATCACTAAACTAACAGCGCTATTGATTTCAAATGGACTCACCAGCAAATGCATCTTCATTGTTTTCCCAACTGGATTCCAATTTCCAGACATATTTATTTTCTGTAAGTACTCACCCTATTATTACAGGAAGGAATTATTTGCTATTTGTGCCCGTAGGGTGTAGCTTTTGGTCCCTGAATGGACGGCTAAAGTTTTTAAATGTTTAACAACTACTATTGTTCGTACATGACAGCACAACTGGTTGTGTTTAGGAAAATAAAGCAGTATATCTGGATCATTTAGACATTAAAGAGGCTTAAAAGACATTAGAAGAAATACATTAGTGTTGTTTACTCATTCGTTGACTACTCCACACTTTCGTATTAAGTATCTTTAATATTCTTCATACATATGTCACTTTACACAAAATTCCGTATGAGTTTTAATTCATTTAAATATTTTCCACAACACTGAGAACTTCAACAACTAGCTAGTGCATAAAAATCAAAATAGGAAAGTGACCCAAAAAGAGTCCAGGTTAGCCATCTCACTGAGTGTAGTTGATAAGACAAAGAAGTAGTAAAAAAGATGGAAAGTCTGTCTGGTTATTAAAATTATTTGCCTGTAAATACTGAAAGAGAGTCTCTGCAGTCAGATGTCTTAACACCATTTATAAAACCCCCCAGCAGTAACTTACAATTGAGTGAGCAAACAGCACCGTGTACACACTATGGACTCAACTGACTAAATTTGGGGGGACAGTTTTCCCAACTAAATTGCCTCACAGCTGGCGTTCTGTAGAGATGAGAAACAGTGA